GTTTCAGATTAATCTTGATTAATCGTGATTAATTCACAGCTACCTTGGAATTAATAGATTAAATTTTTTTATCATTTGACAGCCTAAATTCAAAAGTTTATTTCTTAGAATGTGGGTAAAAATACTTTTACTTTCCCAATTTTTGTGAACAGTTTTATGACTTTTACTTGAGTAGTTTTCTAATCAGTGAAATTTATTTTTACCAAAGTCATTTTCTGTTCATGTAATTTTACTTTTACTTAGTTATTTTTCAAATACTTTATGGAGCTCTGGTGAAAACCAGTAGCGTCTGTGTTTGTCCTCACTGATGTAAACACAGTTTTTAAAGCTGAAACATGTCACATGAACACATTATCAATGTTCATGTTTCATTGACTGATTATGAACTAGTCAATAAAATATGCACCTGTCAGAGTTACAATATCAGATCATAATTATGAGTCAAACTATTGAATAAAAGTCTTACAAACACAGTCACAGAACAAATCAACAGTTACAGAAACCCTGCAGTAAAAGCAGTGTGAATGTTATGTCAAAAGTGAAACACATTTAAGAAAAGAAGGCTAATTTTATCTGAAATGTTATTGTTATGTTAAAAAAACAACTTAAGTTAAAAATCATCTAACAATCATTGTTTTCATTGATTTTTGTTAGAACAAGCGTGGGAAAAGAACTACCCACATGATGCACGTCATTAGATCCTGTAAATTATGTCACCAAACAAAGCTTGTAATGTTTACAGGGATAAAACACAAGCTGGTTTCCACGAGTCTCCACAATTACAGGTGTTCACCTACCTGTGACGGTGAGGTTTGCCTCATGACTGTAGCGAGTGTTGGCGATGTTGTTGGCAACACAGCGGAAAACCCCTGCGTCCGCCTGCTTCACCCCGGTCACCTGCAGGACCCCCATTGGAAGGAGGGTGTACCTGGACAAGGACAGGTGAGAGAACTTGTTTCAGCCTCTCGGAACCCTCAGATTAAAACCGTGCTGCGTTCAGGGACTGAACCTGCTGGTACCTGCTGTCAGAGATGTTCAGAGCTACTCTGTCCTTCTCCCAGGTGATTTTGGCTTCAGGTATCCCGTTGATCTGACACTGGAAGCGAGCGACTCCGCCCTCATCCACAGACATGGACAGTGGGTGGGTGTGAAACTTTGGAAGAGCTGAGGAGGAAAACATACAGATTCATAAACAAACTAACTTATATTTTTACATTTTTGTCAGTAGGGTAAATCCCATTTATACGATTAGTAATAGTAAGTTGGTGTTTTTGTATTATGCTTATATTTTATGTTTAATCTGATGTAATAAAGCTGATAATCATTATTTTATTTGCTTGTAGAACCCCAGCTGCTGCAGTTTTATGTCACAAAGCAGAGAACATGACAACGCAGCTGAGGGAAGTAAAGGGCAAAAAGAAAATTGGTGTGTTACGGTTGAGCTTGGTTGGTTTGAACCCCAGGATGCCAGACTGAGTTAGGGTGGCAAAAAAGATTTATTAAAGCAACAAAAACAAAAGCAGGGGATTCTGATGTTATCAGTCCATGAAATGGACGTTATTAGGCGTTATCAGTCCCATACAATGGCTTCAGAGGGTCCCTACTGTGCCTTCT